TTAGATTTTCACACTTTGTTAAAATGCGGGCCGCCTGACCCGTCAGTTCTCTGTCGGTAGATATAACGATTGAACAAGTCAGTAGTTCCCACAGGCCGGGCAGTGGGGGGTCTGGGGGACCAATTGTGAAGTGAGTGTCTTCACTCTTTTATCATCCTAGGTACCGGTACGGCCAGTTAATTGAGATAAACAGCCACAGCCTCTTTTCTAAGTGGTTTTCAGAAGTAAGTATTAGTATTGTAATTCTCTGGATTGTCAACCATGTCGTTGAAAAGGTGTCGTGTATATTAGGCAAACTTTCTGTGGCGCTCCCTTTGTGGTCAGAGGAAAGTTCCAGGCTAAACAGTAACTTGGAAATGGTCTGAGGCCCGAGAGCCTGGGCACATGCAAACCTGTGACTGGTAGGACAGCACGGTCAGCATTATCTGAGGGGGGAGGGGATCCCAAGCTCTGACCTGGGCTGCACCCCTCAGGCTCTGAACCTCGTCCCCCCATCTGTGAACTGAGGCTCGGCAAGGTGACGTCACGAGTGCCCCTCCGCCCCGAAGGGTTCTGCCCCGGGCAGCTGTGTCAGCAGGCCCCCATGGTGGGTGGGAGTGGGGACGGAGTGTGCCTGGCCGGCTTGCATGTTTGCATTTATGACCCATCGCTGCTGGTCGTGAGGAAGCTGGGAAACGGGAAGAAAGAGGCCGTGTGGCCCCGGGAGGGGGTCCGTGTGGGCTCGAGCCTCGGCGTCCTGGCCCATGAAGCAGGGAGAGGGGGCCTTGGGGCTGAGCTCCTGCCCTGCAGGCTTCTGGGACTCGGGGTCCTCCGAGGGCTGTCAGGAGACTGCGCTTGTGGGGCCACCTGGGGTCAGAGCAATGCCAGTCGGGGACAGTGGGCGCACGTGTGCCCCAGGCAGCGTGCTGAGTGCATGTCGACACTGAAAGAGCGTGTTGGTTCCAGAGCGGCAAGCTGGTGACTAAGATGTTCCAGAAGATCCAGGACCTGATAGACGACAAGGACGCGCTGGTGTTTGTGCTGATTGACGAGGTAGGTGTGTTCGGCCAGTACACCTGGGTGGAGGGCGTCCGGGCTGAGCTGCCTCCCCCGCCGCCCGGCGCAGCCCGCCGCTTGCTCAGCCGCCTCCGTCATCGCGCACTGGCATCCCACACACAGCTGGCACAGGTAGGCGCTGCCTCCGTCGTTCGTTCACTCGCTCGGTCGACATGTCCGTGCTGCCCTGTGGGGCCAGGTACTGTCATTTTTGACCCATTGCTCTCTCCCCACAGGTGGAGAGCCTCACAGCGGCCCGCAACGCCTGCAGGGCGGGCACTGAGCCTTCAGACGCCATCCGCGTGGTCAATGCCGTCTTGACCCAGATCGATCAAATTAAAAGGTAATACAGTCACGTGCTCGCCAGGCCCTGTGCTGGCCCATGTCCATGAGCAGGGCGATGACAGTGGCCTTGTGAAGCCTGGAAGCTAAAGGGGAAGTGGCTGGTACTCAGGATAAATAATTCAGCTCTGGTGTGTCGAGGCGATGAGAGCTGTGAGATGAGCAGTCGGATGGGGGTGTAGGTGCTGGCTAGGCGACCAGGGACACTCCACCAAGATGACAGCTTCACTGCAGTTGAAGGAGTCGAGGGAGCAGTCAGCTGTTTCCTTGGAGAGCTTTCCAGAAGGCAGAGGATCCGACGGAGCACAGGCCCCAGGAGAGTGTTTCTGGCACTCTGTGCTGTGGCCAGGACAGCCTGGTGGGAGTGGGGTCAGGCAGCAGCTCGGGTGAGGACCTCGGGAGGCCTTG